CAAAATAGAAATATTTAATGAATAAACATTATTGTTTTTAATATAACTTGCATTGTTGCATCAACAGTTGCTTGTTTTTATATAAATATTTAAATTTTTCCATAAAATTTCAACTTAATGCTGTAATCTTCTGTAAATATATATGATTAAATATATACAGAGATGGATTCAGGGGTGTCAGGGTGCAGCTGCAAACTCCTTTTGGAGTTTTTCCTGAGCAAAGCTGGGTACTTCAGGTAGTAAAAAATTTTGTAAGGTATTTTTTCCTTTCACTCTAATGCTTTCTGGATCTTTTTATTTAGTACATAGTATATTGTATTAAATAAGAGATCATTTTTTAAGTTTTTGAAGGAACATTATATTTAAGTTTTTCTAGCAAATAAATGTGAAAAAAATTTCTAGAAATATATATGCTTACATTACAATACTTAAAAAACACAAAGATAAAAACATGTTTATTTATTTTTAGAATGTTGTTCCTTTTTGTTTTTTTTTTTTACTTTTGAATTAACTTATAAGTATGTAATATTTTATTGTCAGTGACAATGCAATAATTATTATACTTACTTTCAACTATATAAACAAAAAAAAAAACAATTTAAGATAAACTTTTCTATTGGACTACAAATATATATTTCATAATTTTTAGTTCACTAAAAATAAGACAATTTGAAATAAAAAAATAATAATGATTAGACAGTTTTCTTTAATCCACATTTTGCTTTTTATAGCTTGTCTGATTTAACCATTTTGTTTTTTTTTTTGTAAAGTTATTTTAAATTGAACTATTATTAAAACATATCACATAACAAGAGTTTTTCAATGTTTTTACATATTTTTTATTACTTGTAAAATTACTTTATAGAATAATATATAATCATAAATGTAATTAAGAATTTAAAATTTATAGTGTAGCATTATCAAAAAAGAGAAACTGGTAACATTATAATTGAATGCAGAAATAATAAAGAACATATTCCATGTTAATTTAGTGATATTCATTCCTCTTAGTTTTCTGGGAGAAAAAAAAAGACAAGAAAAAATAAATTTTTAATTGAAATTAAAACATGTGAATAATTAAATTTGAAAGTATAGCATGTTCATGTTGCAGAAGTTTGCATTTTTTATTCAAGTTTCTGTGTTTTGAATTAATTATTTTCCTACTTCATGATTTCAAAAACTGTTTCCTTCTAGAATTGAAATTTTTATACTGTAATTTATGTTAAAGAAAAAACAAAAGTTTATTAATTAAGAAATAATAATATAAACATTTATTAGATTAACGTCTGTAAAAACGAAATATATTTCCAGCTGTTATACATAACAGAGGGAAAGAGTGGTGATTGATCAAGAAACAACCCTCAAGATTTTTTACATTTTTGGACTCAGGACCTTGAAACATTGAGAAGTGCAAAAAAAAATTGGCATTTTTTCTGTATATATGGATGTTAGTGTGTGGGGGCACGATTTTGTTCACCTCTTTGAACTTGTGCTTTTTGTTGAAAATTTCTGAAATTTTGCAGGGAGGCTTGTTTATTAGGGGAATTGATGCTATTAAATTTTGGTGATTAAAGGTTGATGAGTTGAGAAATAAAGGTGGTCGTGTCTATCTCAAGTAGGGTCAGACTTAAAAAATTAAGCTTTTTGCCATTTTATAATAGTTAAAAATATGTAAAGTTTTTAAAAAATATATCATAACAGATGGTATCACTAAATGTTGCCAGAAAAGTTAAGCTACTCGTTGCTGGATTTTTTTTTAATGTTAAATTACTATTATTATTTTATGCAAGTTGAATTATCTTTAACTTTGTTGATATCTTAAATAAAATTTAAAGAAACCTGCTCCAAATGTGTTTTGAGGAGAATGAGATATGCTTCAAATACAGTGGTACCTCAGGATACGAACGCCCCAGTATACGAAATTTTCAGGATAAGACATGAAATTTGAACATATTTTTGCTCCACGATACGAACAAAAACTCACCATACGGCGTTACATTAGTTCGCAGCCCCATTTTTTATTCACTTCTGTTCATCGGTCTCAGTCCCGTGTTTACTTCATTGTGGATCTCGCTAGATAAAGGAAATCTTGAGGTATTATCAGAAAGTGACTGATTTTATTGAAAAGAAACATCCCGAAAAGGTTCACACTTGCTGTATTGCTGCTCGGAGTAATGACATTTGCCTAAGTCATTTTAGAAACATTTTAAAAAGTAGACAAAGCCGAACCTCTTTGGATAGATATTTTACCAAGTGACATCTATCCAGTGAAAGTGCTGGTGGAAGTGAAGGAAAGAAAGCAAAAAGCAGTGAATAAAAATTAAAAAATATATATATAAAACAACACTAATTTTTTTATCTTTTCTAAGTTATTTTTAAGTTATTGTTACATTATGTTATGTAAGTTAAGTTTTAGTATCATTTCCCCTCTCCCTTTCCTTTGCCACCAGTTTACATCTCCACTGTTGTCTATCCTTAAAAGTAAAGTGCAAATAAAACTACATTTTTTTTAATCAATTATTATTCTATTATGGTTATTTATACATTTACAACTACAAAATGCATTTTTCAGTGTTTTCCTTACTATAGTTATTATTTTTTTTTAATGTACTACTTAGCTTTAATTTGAGTGTGTTTGTTTTTCGTGTTGGAACAAATTATTTGGTTTTACATGTAATCGTACGGGGAAAAATGATTCACCTTGTGCATTTTCATGATACGACCTCAGTTTCAGAACGGATTAATTTCGTTTCCTGAGGTACCACTGTAATTCATGTAGTCATCTTTATAAATAAGTTGTCATTTCTATGATGCAGGGTTTTTGTGGATATTTTGTAGATTTGTTCATAAAATTTTTAGAATTCATTTATATATAAATTATTTTAAAATTGTTAAATATGTGTAAAGATTATAAATAAGACCTAATAATTAAAGTACTAATTAGAATATTAATTAATACAACCAAATATTTTCTATAATTGTGTATAATTAGAGAAAATATTTAGTATTGATGAAATTTTTAAAAAGTTTATTAATAGAAAATTTCACATTTAACTGAATAAAAATTAGAAAATTCATGAAGTAAATGTTGAAGGAAGAATAAAAATTCTCTAATTACACATACAATATAAAATAATTTTTATAAAAATACAGCAGAATTAGATCATTGTGATTAAATTACGATTTACATGTGAAAATGTTAAAAATATTAATGAATAATTTTAGATATTGAAGTGAATTTTTATTAAGTTAAAAATATTTTCTAATTATATTCAATGAATCCTGATCCAGATACCTTGGCCTAAACTTGAGATATTTTGAATCTGAGAATTTTTGGCACTCTTGGCTTATAAAATATACTAGAGAGATTAAATTACAGAAACCTTATTAGATTTAACAACTGAATTTTATATTTTATTTTTCAATGTTTTTAATTATTTAAAAAATAAAATATTTTACTATTTTTATAATGTATAAACATTGAATTAATATTATTACATTTGAAACAAATTATTTTTAAGTTCAGTTTTAAAAATGCTTTTAAAAAATAAATGAATATCTTTCAAATTTGTCCAAGAATAATGAAAAAATAGTAAATCTAGTATTATAGTTTTAAGCATTGTTATTTTAACATTGTTATAGAGCTAAGTCTTATCTTTGCAGCAAGACTTAGCTCTATAGGGAAATTTCAGAATTTTTTGAAGTTAGAGATTGTAGTAGAATTTATTTTCTTTTTAAAACTAGATACATATTATTAGTAAAATTTGCTGAGTTGAATAATTTCGAAACGTTTGAATCAAGTAATGAAATAATTTGATATTACCTGATGATAATTTAGTAAACTATTTTCATTTAAAATATTTGAAACTGCTGTCAAATTAAATAGCAAGTTAAAAGTCATTAATATTGTATAAAATTTCATTTTAACATTTTGATTTTCTAAAAGTTGAAATAACATATGGAGCAGAGTTTATAAATTTTTTTCTTTAAATAGTTTTTAAAGATTTTTCTTCTTCAGTTACTTCTAATTTTGCAAAACTAGAAATATACATATATTCTTTAATAACAATATGGTAAAGATCATGGTTTTGTATAATACTTACTATTTTATACAATTTGAACTTTGATTATGTTTTAACTTCATAATAATCAAATTCTAACTAAATGAATATAGAAAAATGATTATTGTTTTAAAGAGTAAATAAACTTTTTAAAATTAAATTTTAGTGTACACATTCTTATTTAGATAAATTTTATGAAGAGATTTTCAATATTCAAAATTTTACATTACATGATGACTATGTAATCTTAAGATAGACAATATATTCTTAATCTGTTAAATGTATTTATTCATAAAAACGATACCAGTATTAAGTGACTTGTTAATTTTTAAAATGAATTTCAATAATTAGATAATACATTTACATTAATTAAATGCAGTTGTGAAATTAAGATTTATTAGTTATATATTTCAATTTACATAGTAATAAACCACAAATAACAAATAAATAAAATATTTAAATATTTAATTTCTTCTCTAAATTGATACCATAAAAAGCAATTCAAATTACTTTACTTTTTTAATTGGAGCTTTGCCAAATATAAAATCTCTTAAGGTGTGGTATATCATCTTATTCTTTATTATGTAATTTCAAAATATAATGCTAAATGTAATGTAATATAATTAATGTTTTAATAAAATTTTTAAAAGATTTATATAATGTTATCATAAAATCTTTATATATGNAAAAAAATACTATTTGATAAGAATTATATATTTAATAATCATAGTATGCATATTTTTATATATTTTTAGGAAATTAAATGAAAAATATATATATTTCTTAATAAGTGTGACAGAATCAAAAAACATTGAAACTATTTAGTGTTTTTAGTGTGTGTTTCATTTAAAACTAAACTTAATTAATGTAAATTCTTAAATTAATAAAATAAAGTTAATTTAAAATATAAAATTTAAATAAAATTATCTAACTTTTCAGGCTGAAGCACGCTTGGCTGCAAGAAGACATGCAAGAGCAGAAGCTCGGGAAATTCGTATGAGAGAATTAGAAAAACAACAGAGAGAGGTAAAAAGGTTAAATCTTGCATAAAAATTTAGTTTATAAAAACCAATAATGATTTTTTTTAAATTTAGAACTTAATATTTAATTGTTGTTTCAGATAACCTGTTTTCTATTTAGATATAAATTTTATAATTATTAAAACATACTTTTTGATTGAAGGTATTTGAATTGTCAATATCTAATTAGTTTCAACAATATTCTGGAACTAATTTAAAAAAAAAATTCTTAGTCTTTTTATGACTGTTAATCAAAATTTTCATTCTAATTATGCTTATTAATAGTTTTGTGCATAATTTCACATTTTAGAAACCAAATATTGCTTTATTAAATATTTTTGAGGAAATTTTCTGTCTTCACAATATATTAAGGATATTTATAAAAAAAAATTATATAGCATAACATTTTTTTGTTTTTATTATTTTTGGAAGAATTCTTGCTTAAACTGACTCCAGGACTGGCTTGATGGCCTCACCATCACCCCATCATTATCACATTCATATAATAAATGATCTTTAGTATCATCTATTTCATTTTTTAAGCCACATTTTTTTTAAAGGATTGGACCACAAATTCAGTCTTGTGGCTGCCAACTTCTCTGTTTTATGCATGTGTTATATTGCGACTTTTGGCTTGTAAGAAGTAGGGTATTTTTTATGGAATTTATAAGGAAAAAGTGCATCTTTATAAGCGTAGAAAGTCTAGTAGTTACTGATTAATCCTCATATTAAAAATTAAAATTTTATGGATTAAAATGAAACTCTAGTTTCTTTGATATAACTTTTACATGATTATTTTCATTATGTATGAAATTAGAAAAGAAAATATCACTAAAAAAGAAATTAATAGGCCAATGATGAATTAACACACCAACATATTGGAAAAACTTTCTTTTCCAAATGCAAAAATCATACCAAAATCAGTTTTTTGAAAACTATCATTACTTTTATTTTTTATTATCATTATTAAATGCTACTATTATCTTGCTTTGTATCATTTTCTCAAATCTTGCAACTCAAATTTCTGCTACTTATAATTAAGATAGATGTGTTCTCAAAGTTTCAACTTTCTAAATCTGATGACAATGCCTTTTAATGATTTTAATGGTGGCCCACAATCTTCCCACTCTGAAAACCAATAAACATAACCAAATGTAGAATTTAATTGGGTTTTATATATATGGTGGGGATTGCCTCTTAACATCCTCAATCTTGAAAATCATGGCCAATAAAAAAACCATGATTTTTTTTACTATATTAAAAAAAATTATTTATCATTTGAGTATTTTTAGATATATGTAAATATTAATTCAAATTTTGAGTTTTCTTTCTCAGAACATGTTACAAGATTATATATAGGCTACTATAAAGTAAACTATTTTTCCAATTTAATTGTTGATTTCTTGAGTGTTCAATTTAACTTGTAATATAGAAAGTTACCAAGTGTAAGAAATTTCCTTTGTTTATATTTCATTTTACTTCTAAGTGTGCATAAAAGTTGATCAGTATGGCTTTTATCATTATACAATTTATTAATTGTTCATAGAGTTATTGATGTTAATCAATGACTCTGAACAATTAATCAACAACTACCCATTTGTGCATCAGGTTTGTATATGTTTGTTTACATAATAATTAATCGGTGAATATTTCAGTTAGGATTAAGAAAATGCTATTTAACTTTTTGTAAAAATAATTTGTTGTCCATTTAACTGATTTTTTAAGCAATTAAAAAATTAAACTTATGTAATTTTATGAGATTTTATAAAAATANTTGCGGTGCAAAATCCACAAGTTTTTTTCATTATAAATCTGATTGTTTTCTACAAATTGCTTCAGTCAAATGATGCAAAACACTCAAATAATATTATTTCTTGACAGTTTGACTGGTTGGAAGGAATTCGTGATGCACAACATCATGACAATAGAAGAAAACAGTCAACATGTCCTTATATGGTCTTTTCAGTCTTGCTTCATCTTTTGAGCACCATTCACTTAATTGTTGAGCTGTTTTGGTGTCAAGAGTGTAGATTTGTGTTCATCACCTGTAATGATGCATTTTAATAGATACATTTATTTTTATTTTGTTGAAAATTTTTATATAATGACTAATACAACATTTCAATTATAAAAATTAAAAGAAAACATTCCTACTAGAGAGAACTTACCATCTAGAAACTGTTCAATATTCAAATCTATGCATTCAGTTACATTAAATACTGTACTGTATATACTAAATGACTAAAAAATTAGATATATGTAGATAGAGCTTAACAATAGTTTTTGATGAACAAAATTATTTAAATGATTACTGTTGAATAATACATTTATTTATTTTGTTTTCTTTTCTTTTTTCATTTAGATAATTAGAGTAAATTCCCACTAACTCAGACTAATAGGGGGTGAGAGTTGTCCAAGTTAGTAGGGTGTTTTCTTCAATGACAGAAAATGAGAATGTAGATATACAGTAAAGTAATTTATTATGGTTAGGTTTATGCATAAGATTTACTATAATGAGATTATACTGCTGAATTTGTTATTTCAGGAAATGAGATTAAAAAATTTTGTGACAGTATAGTATACAGCAATGTACAATCTTTAGTAACTTCCCAACTACTGTAATATAATGCAACATATTGCAAAGTTTTCTAGATATTGAAAACGCTTGTTAATTATAATTTTACTATTGCAAGAAATTTTAAATTTCAGTTTCAAAAAATTTGTCTAAGTTATGCAAAGTCCAATTTAGTGAGAGTTTACTGTATTATGTAAATGTAATATGAAAATTATGATTTCTGCAAGTTTATTTTTACATATGTGATTTGTATTTGTTATATTGGATTAATACTCATTGTTTTTGCATTAAATTATTGATTTCATTTCTGAAAAAATTTATATATTTCAGAAATTTTTCTTGTAGGAAAATGGGACTACTAGTATATTTATACATTTATAGGCAAACCTTATTTAACTTACCTACAAGAGTATTGAAAGTAAAATTTTTAGAGGAATCATAATTTATTTTAAATAACAATAAAATATGTTAATAAGTTTTTGGTGTAAGCATAAAGAAAAAATAAACTATTATGATTATGTTACTGCATTAACTCCATTATGGTATTTATTACACTTACATACAAATTTATATTTGTAATATGAAAAAGTTGAAAAACTTTTATATTTATAGAAATGAATATAGTATTGTTACTTCATTATTTTTAGCAAAACATTTTATTTGAAATATCTAAAAAGAGTATTCATTAGAAAGATCTATCTATCAATTAAGTTTTATATTAAAAAGAAATGAAATATAATTTAAATTAAGAACTCAAACTGGAAATATTTGCTATACCAACTAGATAATCTTGCTGGAATAAAGAAAACGTTATCTAGTTGATATAATAAATAAAATAGATGATTATGATTAAACTTTCATGTTTCTTTTAAGGGACGTTCTTCATTTGCAACTACTTCATCATCCTATGGTAATTCTAGACGTAGCAGTGAAGATTCCATTGAAGCTATAGAATCCAAAGATCTTAAGGTACAGTTGCATTTTCAAGAAAGTATAGTACTACATTGTATACACTAGCTATGTTACAGGGTGATATAATTAAAAAGTAGGTGTTCAGTGAGTTCTTTCTATCGAGAGCTCTCAACACCTATTCTTTAATTATGATCACGTTTTAGCACTACGTTGTTGTTACTATATGTGTGTGATGATTATATTCTGAGAAGAAAATTCTAATATTAGTTACTTTACATTTAGAGTTTTGATATAAAACAAAATTTTATTTTAACTCTCTCTAACAAAACTCTAACTCTCTAAACAAAACAAAACTCTAAATGTATTTATTTATAACAATTTGTTGGAATTAAGTATATTGATATTTGATGTATAAAAAGAAGTCTCAGAAAAATCCTGTTATTTATGATCATTTCTCAACTTACTTTCAAATCACTATATCTTTCAATATTATATGAAGTCAGAGTATTTAATTTTAACATATTTTTTTCCAATATTTAGGTAAATCTTTTTTAAAAATGTTAATAATTTAGTAAAGTAGTCTCAATATTTTATTTTAACTTAATAAATAAATTAATTTTGAAAAGCAAAAAAAGTAGAATAAAAAATAGAAATAAGTTAAAATTTTAATTACAATTTAAAATTTGTATTTGGTTTTTATCTCTTCTGAAATGGTAAATACAAAATTAATATTTATAAAAATTTATATTGTTTTAAAATGCAATGTTAAACTTAATCCATGGTTTTTAAGTATTCATTTATTTATATAATAATATCTTGGTTGAAGGTAAATATTTTAATACATTTTACATAAATATTAATTTATAATTTAGAAACTCCTAAATACAGGTATCTTCCATATAATACGGAAGTTACTTTCTGAAAAAGTGCCATGTGATGCGAATCTGTGCTATACGAAAAAAAGGACTATGTAAAACATGGAGTTAGGTTCCAAAAGTTAGCAAAAATATACTATTGTTTTTCATAACTAAGAAAAATATACTTATGAAAGCTCAATAATTAAATAACAATCACAATTAAAAGTTCTGTATGATATATTAATATTAAGTTTAGTTAAACAATGTGAGACCTGAAAGGCCCCTGGGTCTAATTTAATAATTTTTATTAATAATGTTAAAATATTGTCACAAAATATTACTTCGTTTTGTGAGAAAACTAATGTTTTGGACGTGGGAAAGATAGATAGCAGATGTTACTTCCTTTGAGGGAAGTTTGTACATCCTCTGTTTTTCTCTTATCCGCTAAAAATCTCACTCAGATGGGAACTATCTACCCCTCTTTGATTCCCCTTTCATCCGTTCACATGAACGAGTTTCTAGCAGATGATTGGTCGTAAATCCTGAGATATAGGGGAAATTTGTCAGAATTCGGGGAGTTCAGCGACAGATCTGGAAGTGTCCAAACTCCACACGTTTTCCTCCTGATGACCAACGCCCTTAGTCAAGTCACTTAGAATAAGTCCAGAGTCGGCACTTAGAAATTATACTTTGATTTTGTGCACATATCGATCTCCCACGGAAAGAAGTAAATGAACTTTATCCCCAAAGTGTCCCTTGCCTACAGAGAAGAAGACGAACGACAACTAAAACAGGTTGTATGTTTTATAACGATTTTGTGAGCTCTCTCTCTCGATCGCGAATTGGGTATAAGATAAGTATAGATATCATTCGATTTGTATGATATTTGTAGTAGTTCTATCTCTCGTTCATTAATATTTTGTATGAGTTTATTTTCTTGTTTTATTAAATTTATTATTTCGTTTTTAATTAAAATGTCTCTTAATTTTGTGTCCGAATCAGATCTCATACGCGTGTTTGTCCGCTAATCGATAAATTGACAAACTGGTGTCAGCCCTGACAAGCATCTGGACTTCACAGTTCAGATCTACTAGCGATTATCGCTCTCCTATGAGACTTTTTAAGATCGGATCTCTCGATCCGAAACTTTGGAGACAGATTTCGGATAATCTGTGCCTAGTAAGTGATACAGGCGTAATAAACCTCCCTGTACCCCAGACTACTCTCACAACAAGGGCATTTTCTTTTTACAAAGTATCATCATTTTCCAAGCTTTTCTGTTGATCTTGATCAGAAATATCATAAACATTTTCGTTTTTTATATTTTTATCATTTTTTTTATGGATGACAAAATAAAAATGTTATTAATTGATAATTTGATCTAGAGCAGGGGTGTCCAACCCGCAGGCCGCATGCAGCCCAAGGCAAGTTCCAATGCAGCCCAATAAACGTGTAAACAAAACTGACAGATTTTTTTTATTTTATTTTATTTATTTATTTATTTATTTCAACGGCACAAATTCAAAAAAGATGTTTCACAAAGCAGTAAACCTTTATACATATTTTAATTTTGAGTGGAAAGGAAACATTTTCAAATACTTGGAAATGTGTGAATGAGGAAGGTATATTAAATAAAGCTGAAGTTGTGACTCAAAGGAGTATAGACTCAAATTCAAGGAAAGGAGAGAAAGGCCAAAAGATAAAATGATAATGAGAAAGGTTAAATATACAAATAAAGCTCTTTCTTATTAAACGAGAAAGGTTAAATATACCTTTTGTTATGCAAATATTGACCCTTAATTTTTCAACTTTCCTCACTTTTTTATCTTGGGTCCTTTCTCTCCTTTTCTTGCTTTGGGTCTATAATCCTTTGAGTCCCAACTCCAGCTTTATTTAGTACTCCTTCCAGCGTTGCAAGATTTGGCTACTTTGTGTCAAATTTGGCTACCTTTTTATTAGTTTGGCGTAAAAAATATCATTTGACTCATTGGCTACTTTTTGGGTTACACATTATTTATAAATATATTAGTTGAATAAAAATGCACTTTAAAATGATGTTTCGTCACTTTTTATTAATTAGAGACCCAAATAAAACAAATATTTGTGTTTTTCAAATAAATTTTTGTTTATCTCCTTTATAATAAATGAATTTATTTATTTCTAAATAAAAATTGAAAGTGTCTGTAGAAGTAATTTTTTAAAATATCCTTATTCGTAATAAAGTTTTAATGCTTATTACTATAATCTAGACATGTTAGTTCTTAAATATACTTGTATATTTAAGGATTGGGCCAAAATATACTTGGGCCACAAGTATATATATTATACTTGTAGCCCAAAACTCCATGACTTCTTCCAATGTGGCCCAAAGAAACAAAAAGGTAGGACACTCCTGATCTAGAGGATTGCATTTGTTCAGTCTAGTACCAAGCAAAATTTTTTTTTCAAAATTTATGTTTGAATACCGACTTGCTCAAATTGGGAACTGTTCAAATACCAAGATACCGTTGTATTTTATTTGTCATTTTTACACATGATTACTTCATTTTATTTCATGTTGTTAAATTTTTTTTTAACCATAAATAATACCTACAGTTAAAAAATTTTTAGTAATATTTACTTAAAAATGTTTATTCCTTGTATTTAGTAAAGTTTATTTAATCTATTAAAAAAGCACAGTGACAATTTCAAGAGCTAAAGTCTGAGAGCAACAACAATGACAATTGATAGGAAAGCTAGGACAAGGAAGAAAAAAAATTGCACTATTGGCTTTCTTTAAAGTAAACCCGATAAAAGGCACAAAAGAAATTGAAAATTTCAGTATTCTGAAATCCATGGGCAAATTTGAGACAACATGCATGCTTATTTGAATAAAAAAATATTGAAATTTTGTATGGAGGATTTTCAAAATTCTGTTAGAACAAAACTGGAAACTGTGTTGTACGGGGGATACCTGTATTTATTTAATCATCTAAATAAAAAATAGTTTTAAAACATTAAGAGTATAATAACATAGTTTTAACGATGAACTATTTTATTTAAAACATTTTAATTTTTATATTGTATTATTGTCTTCTTTTTCCTTTTATTTATAAAGATAAGAATAATTCAACTCAAAAAAAATAAGTAAATAGAAACCAAGCAAACTACCATATTATTGGACTACAATAAGGCAAACTTTAAGAAATAGATATGAAGTAATAATTTGACAAGATGTAGACAGTCACGTTGCTTCTTTTCTCATGAAATGGCAGCCTAACTGCCTACCTCTTGTCAAATTACTTTATATCTAATTCTTAAAATTAACCTTATTGTAGCCCGATAATAAGCAGATTCGTTTGGTTTGGCTTTAGTTATTCAGGTTTGTGGATTTGTTTATGTATAAGTAAATACATAATTTATCTAAAATAACAAACTGCTTCAACTTGAAAAGTTAGTTATGCAGTAGATTATATATTGTAATCACTTTGGGACTTGCCTAAACTTATAATAATAGATTGATAACATTATGCAAAGCAAGAATTTATTAAATAAATAATGCATGCAGTATTGTTTGTCTACTGTCATTATCAACACTAACTAGCATAATTCCACCAATTTAAACTAATTGTTATTTAGTTACAATACAACAAAATGATTAATTTCAAGCTCTGGTTAAGACCAGTAACAATAACTTATAACAATTTCATGTTGTGAGTTACATGTTGAGGCTACTAGCATGAAAAGAAAGCATAAAAAAACCTGAGATTTTTTATTTACCCAAACATGATAAGAATAACTGAATTGTGATTACAATAAGTGAAGTACAGTAGAGCATCGATTATCCGATCCCCGATTAACCGTCACATCGGTTAACCGACCGTTCTAGTCGCCAAATTTCAAATGTCCGCTAGTGATGTGGCGCTACAATATTTGGCTATGTCTTGCTACTTTAATGTTATTTTTGTTAAATTTTTGCATGTTTTAGCTGGTAACATTGGCTCGACCATGAAAGAGAGACCAGTATTTAAACGAGACTTAATTTTCTAATTATGAGTGGTTGTTTGTTTTGTGAGCAATAAAATAATTTTTAATGATACAATAGTAACGATTATTATTTTTAAAAAAGTTTGTTAGGCTTAACATCGATGAAAATTCAATGCAAAGTTGGTTAATAGTGATATACTAATATACTAATTACATACTACTAATATACTATACTAATAATGTATTTTTTTAATTCTTTTCAGTTATCCGACCAACCTGAGTCCCCAATTGAGTCGGATAATCGATGCTCTACTGTATTTATAATGTATTATAATTTGTATGTTTTGGATCCTGCCAATCTTGATAATATTAACCAACTAATAAAAAAAATAAAAATAATTAAATAAAAAAAATAACATTATTCTTTAATTATTAAAACAATTAATTCTGTTTAATTTTTCATAGATTGATTGATTTTACTAAACTGAAAGAAGATTTAAGTGAAAAAAATTATAACTCATTTATATATATTTTAAATTATATAGCATCAGCTATCGGATGCAGAAGAAAAGTTTCGAAAGGCTATGATTAGTAATGCACAGTTGGATAATGAAAAAACTGCTTTAACTTACCATGTAGATAAACTTCATGATGAGATAGAAGAAATGGAAGAACAATTTCATCAAGTTCAGAGAGAATATAAGTCTACATCAAGAGTGAGTTTAAATAATTTAAATTACAAATTTTTAAAGCATTGATTTAAAAATTATAGTGAAACACTATTTGTGTTTCACATTTATATATCTTTATTAATGATGCAACTAATATTCGGTTACTATTCGGTATTTGGCCTATGTTTCACTATTCGGCCGAATACCTAAAAAGGAGTAATAAATAACAAAAACACAGTAAATTAATCATTTTGGTGACTTTTATTAATGCTGAACATACATTTCAAGTTCGAGAAAGTGCAATTTTTTGCTTATTTATGTAAAAGATCAAAGGAAAAGTAATATAACTAAGTTATTTTTTTAAGAGATCAAAAAAAAAAGGTAACAAATCAAATGAAAATTACCTACTTATTATGTAGTTTAGTCATCTATATACTCGTATATAAAAGAACAAGTTCTGATAGGATAATTAATGCAGAGCCAAAACTACTGGTGCTAGAAACTTAAAAATTTGAGGGTATGTTCCTTTTGTAAAGTTTAGGCGTGCTAAGAAAATATTTTATGAAATTCAACCCTAAAGGGGTGAAAGAAAAGGGTAAAAAATTTGCATGAAAATTTTTACTGTGTGGACACATTAGATCGAAACTTAGGTCATAAAATGTGAAAAAAATAATAATTAATGATCTGTAAAGAGCTTTTATGAAATCATTCCTTATTATAAACTTGAAAATTAAATTAACTTTTTTTGTTTCATTGTATAAAATTATTTATCATAACTGAAGTTCCAGACAGCTTGATAGTCTGAACAGCCCCAGGCTTTCGCCCATGCACGCTAAGTGATTTTCATTACAAGCATTTAGCTTTCTGAAATCTATGAGAACAATTATTTGGCATTGATGGCTGTGAAATTCATGTCAATAAGCTGCCTCAACTTGTTTGATTATGCTATCAACTCAATTTCATATTTATTTTTACATTTTCACTTCGCGGTCCTGCTCTGTTTTCCGTTATTTGCACATGTAGGACATTTCATTGTTACCCACATTTGATATCATCACTTATCACATACTGCCATGACGCTCATATCTGTCCGCTAAAACTGTCAAGAATTAACACGATTGGCGAAGTGTAGTGACAGCGGGCCAATAGAGAGCAGGATATGCAATTCTTGCCATAATGCAGTTTGCTCGCCAATTTTCATATGTGTGTTAATCAAGTCGAATAGTTTGGCTGAATATTCGGCTATTCAGCCACGCTCCTGGCCATATATACTATTCGTTGCATCACTAACCTTTATTATTTATACTTTGTTTTATGTTGATTACAAAGCATTGGTATTCTTTTCACTGGTAAAATATTTTGTTTGTGTGTCATTTCTTTTCTGGTAAAGATGATAAATATTACATTAATCTTTTAGAAAACATACTCTCAGCATTTCCAGAACATGTTCTTTGTTCTATTCTCACACTTCTTTCTTTACATTCCTGAAATAAAATTATGTAACATTGATCCCACCAGTGTAATCTGTCAGAGAGAGAGAGAGAGAGGATTAGCAGATTAGCAGTAGATTATTGGCCATTAGTCAACAATAAGTTTGAAGAGATAAAAAATAACACTACATATTTGTAGTGTCCTGTGTCAGCAAAGAATCTGTGAACAAAGACAAAAGTTTATTTTTGGGAATTCTTCTTAATAATTCTAAGTAACACTGTTAATAGATCCTAATAGATATTTTAAAATTGTAGAAAAGGGTGTAATATACCCTTGTGATCAAAAAGTATTGGGAATGGTTCAATAAAATGCAAGATTTGAAAATTAAAATTTATTCAAATTTGAAGGAGACAAAATAAATTCATCAAAATTTATTTTGTCTCCTTCAAATTTGAATAAATTTTAATTTTCAAATCTTGCAAATCTTGCAAAATAAATTCATCAAAATTTATTTTGTTCCCTTAAAAGTAATCCCCTCCCACTGCCAATGCACTTATGCCAATGTTTTTCCAATCTTTGAAATATGCTTTAAAGTTGTTTTATGAAGCCCCTCAGGATTTGCAGCAAAGTTTGTTTTATGGGATCAGTTGACTCGAAATGACTACCAAGCAGAAGATTCAGTCAAGAAAACAGGAAAAAGTCAGTGTCATATCAGGTGGATATGGAGCTTGCAGAACTATATTTGTTGAATTTTTGGCCAAAAATTCACAAAAATAAGAGCATTGTGAGCAGGTGCATTATTGTGGTGCAAAATCCACAAGTTTTTTTCATTATAAATCTGATTGTTTTCTACAAATTGCTTCAGTCAAATGATGCAAAACACTCAAATAATATTATTTCTTGACAGTTTGACTGGTTGGAAGGAATTCGTGATGCACAACATCATGACAATAGAAGAAAACAGTCAACATGTCCTTATATGGTCTTTTCAGTCTTGCTTCATCTTTTGAGCACCATTCACTTAATTGTTGAGCTGTTTTGGTGTCAAGAGTGTAGATTTGTGTTCATCACCTGTAATGATGCATTTTAAGAATGATTTGCCTTGAGAAAAAATTTTCTCTGCCACTTGAACACACTATTTTTGGGAAAAAGTCAATGTTTTCAGGAAAACTCAAAAAAATGACTCACTTCAAGCCAAATGATCTTTTAAAATTGGTTGACAGATAAAGAACCAAATGATACTGGAAAATGTGCAATAATGTCCCTAATTGTTAAATGATGATCATTGAGCACCAAATCTCTAACTTGAGCAAAGTGTTGTTCCTCAGTTGAAGTGGAGGGTCTTACTATAGCATGGTTTGTCTTTGTTGTGTTCTCTGCCTTCCTTGAACATCTTGTACCCTTGTACCATTCAAACTTTTGTTTTTGATAGACTATTGTCACCAAAGGCTTTTTGCAACATTCTCAATGTTTTCGTAGCAGTAATTTCATTGTGAAAGCAAAATTTAATGCACATTCTTTGGTCAGTTACATTTGACATTTTGAAAAATTGCTGACACAAAAATTATTTATGCACAAAACAAGCTTGTATTTGCAAATGAAAACAGATGATGACACAGATTACTGCTAGATGTCGATAGAACTCATACCAAACAATGAAAAAATGACAGCACTTTTGCATGAGTGCAGTTTAAATGACTCATTCCTGATACTTTTTGATCACAGTAGTACTACTAGCTATCAGTTGCAATTGTGCCTGGAATAGTCAAATTTCAAAATTTATTACTGTTTATCAGATATTTGAATTATTCTAATTGAGCACTGTTACTGTGATAAATGTGTGCAAAATAGCAATTACTATTTTTATAATAAATGTAAAAGGTGCAAGTTATTTTGTAATAATGTCTGCTAATTGTAAAAATATCATATTTTATATGTGTACGTATACAGTAAAACCTGTCCAAAATGGAACCCTAATAGAACACTAGGATCTGCATCTGTCTGTCTTTGGAATTCTATGATATAGTGAGAAATTTCAGATAATTTAACTCCTGTGGTAAAAGTGTGGGTATTGAGGATTTGCTGGATATCCTGCACATATGTTATAAAATAAAGGAAAAACTGAATTTTTTAAAAATTTGTACTACGAATATATACTGTATAGATATAGTACCACATTTAAGGGGGTGCTCAGATCATCACAGCTGTTGGCATGAATTTTTCTCCATTTCCATACTTTGTCTAATTTTTCAAGAAATGAAGAGTTTTGAATTATTTTCGACAAAAAGGAATAATATTAAGCTTCTTATTTTATTGTTATTGATTGCTGGAATAGAACCAAATCCCGGTCCCTTACAGAAAACTCCAACAAAGAGAGGAAGACTACCACTTACTCATCAAAAATTGCTGACTAATAGTATCAAACCATTGGAACTGAAATCAAACCTTATCACTGAATATACTGAACCTAGAAGAGCCAAATCATCATTCCAAACAGGTGAGCTAATTAATTTAACTTCCTCACAAGAACAATTACCTGCAGAACAAATAGACATTTCAACAGCAGAATTATGGAGTAAGATAGTCGAATTGATAACCAATAGTAATGATAAGCTGGTGAGTCGATTTTCACTTATAAGACAGAAATTAATATAATTCAAAATGAAATTAAAGAATTTAAAGATCAAATTCAACAAATAAGGATGAGAAATGATGAAATAGAAATTGAATTTACCAAACTAAGACTAGAAAATGAATTAACTCAATATAAACTGGATACTATAAATAATAATAAAATTATGATTTATACAAATCATAAATTTATCATATAATTGATAATATAAAAACCAATAAGTTTAAGAAACCTTGGTATGACTTTACCTGTTACATTGCTAAAGTAAAGAAAAATAAAGCCTTAAAGCAGTTTAGGAACATGTCAAATGTTAAAAATATTACTAAAAATGAATTAGCAACATTTTTTCTAATACTTTAAAAATAGTTTGCAGTGAATCAGAAGATACAGAAAATATCTACTCAATAATTCAAATATTCAAATTAAGTGCATAGTATTAAAATCAAACCAATTAAGAAATAGAATCCTTGCAGCCTTTAATAAATCAAAATATAACAAGACACTGGGAAATTGGCAAGATATTAATATATCAGCTGATTTAAATAGATTCTCGCAAAAGAAGAAAAAAACTTTTACAATATTATACAGATTTTAAGAAACAAGGATTACAACTAAAACTGTGTGATGACTGTCTGATAATTAATCATCAAAAAATTACATATAGTTACATTCAGGATCAGCTAGTATACAGTGATGATTTTTTGTTGTATTCTCTACAGAAAAACCCAATAACATAATTCAGAATTAGAATATGAAAATAATCAATGTATTAAAATTTCAAACAATCTTAACTTAAATATCACGAACTGGAACTGCCAAGGCTTAATCCACAAAATAAAAAGAGTTCTCTCAATTACTATATTATACTGATATCTTGGGTATAACTGAAAACCTGGCTAGCCACACCAGTTAATGAAATTATCAAAAATAGAATGGAATACACAATTATATCTACTGACGCACAGAAACCAATAGGACACTGGAGACCGTATCAAGGACTTTGTCTAATATTAAGAAAAAACATTGGTTCCATAAAATTTATACTAAAAACAACTAATTATATTTTAATCTTATTGCAAATTGATAATACCGAAATGAAACATTTATACAAAAAGTTAATTATAATAATGTTAGTTTACGTTCCACCTGATCAGATAGACTTATTAAATGAAATATTTTTCCATTTTTCAAGATTTTTGAATATCTCTCCATATGTATTGTTATTTGGTGATTTTAACTCCAGAATTGCACAGAAAATAGATTCAGAATATAAAGGTCCAAATAATTTAATTCACTTTAACCGTGAATCAAAAGATAGAAAACATAATAGATTGGGTCTTCAATTAATAAAAAATACTCAACAATTGCAATTAATAATTTTAAACGGAAGAATAAAAAATGACTATCCATCTGAATTCACTTGTGTTGCTAATATTGGAAGTTCAGTAATAGACCTTACAGATTTCTACACAGCAATTCAGAACATATTGTATGTAGAAATTCAAGTTTTAAATTGCGACCTATCTGATCATTTTCCAGTCAAGACTGTTTTTGAAATGGCAAATATCCAAGTAAATAATAAAAAATTTCAACCTTATCAAGTAATAAATTATGATTATCTGAATTTTCAATTGCAAATTAGTGACAAAATTAAAAATTTGCCTAAATTTATACGGAGAAATGGAATAGAGATATATTATCAATTGGAAAATCAAATAAAAAAATTCATTATAAAAAAGATTAATAATATAAAAACCAATAAGTTTAAGAAACCTTGGTATGACTTTACCTGTTACATTGTTAAAGTAAAGAAAAATAAAGCCTTCAGTTTAGGAACATGTCAAATGAAACAAATCTTATAAACTATAAGAAACTTAAGTCAATATACAATAATTTGTTAAAATCTAAGAAAATAAAATATTTTAAAAATCTTGAACATCAGTTAATGTCAAATAAAGATAATACTGTGTTTTGGTCAACAGTACGTAAATTATGTAAACAGGATACTGAGAATCAATTGCAAATTGACTTTTTAACCTGGTTACTCTATTATTGAAGAAAAACTACTATAACTAATGAGATGCTGAATCTGGAAAATGAAATTTTAGATTTGATAATAATATGAGGAATTGGATGCATCAATTAATAAAATGAAAACAAAATGTGCACCAGGTATGGATCTAATTACAGTTAAATTCTTAAAATTATTACCACCATCAGGAAAATGAGTATTGCTTGAACTATTCAATTCATTCTACAATTCAAAGTTTTACTGTATTCCAGAAAATTGGAATACAGTAAAACTGATAATGATCTATAAAAAAGGAGACAGAAAAGATCCAGGAAATTATCAACCAATAGCATTACTATCAACATTACGAAAATGCTTTACTTCTATACTGGCACTACAATTCCAACGATGGACTGAGGAACTTAATTTAAACTCAAAATTTCAATTCGCATTTATAAAATCAAAAGGAACAGAAATGGCATTATTCTTCTTATTATCAATAATACAAGTTTACTTACTAAAAAAACACAGAAAAATATATTCAGCTTTTATCGATATATCAAAAGCCTTTGATTCAGTTCCTGTCCCAACTTTGATAAATAAATTGAAAACCTATGGCTCTGGAAAAAAAATTCTCAGATTCAATTGCAAAATTATTTTCAATCTACAGAATCAACATTAGTCATGGTAACCAGATATTCCCAGAATTAAACATAAATCGAGGATTACTACAAGGAGAACCGTTATTGCCATATTTGTTTAATTTTTATTTAAATGACATCGATAAATTATTTTTACTTGATACTGAAGGAGTTCAAATTTCTCAAAGAATTTACCACTATATATTATATGCAGATGATCTTGTATTACTTGCATCAACAAAAATCACCTTGCAACACAAATTAAATATAATAAACAACTATCTGAATTCCCTGGTTTTAACGATCAATATCTCTAAATCCAAAGTAATTATATTTAGAAATAATGTTAAACTTCCAAAACAAGAAAAATCATTCTATTTAAATAATCAATCTCTCACCTTAGTAAATTAAATAAAATATTTAGGAATATCATTTAATTGGAATTGTAATTTTCAACTGCACTTGAAGAATCTAACTACAAAAATAAATACTTTAATAGATAATGTTATTTATTTATGTGCAAATTTAAAAATTATGAATATAAAACTACAGATGAAACTATTTAACCTTCTGATTATCCCTTCAATATATTATGCAAGCCGTATTTGGGCAATAGACTTATTATATGATTTAGAAAAATTCCATGTTATTTACTTACGAAAATGATATAAAATAGAAAGAACTGTTCCTGGTTATGCAATTTGAGCCGAGACTAATAGATTCCAATTATTTCCATTTTATTTAAAGAGACTGATTAAATTCTATTATAGATTAAAAAATTCTAACGAAGATAACATAAGATTCTTACATCAAATAATGCTAAATCAAAATAATAACTCGGAGAAAAGCAAAAATCTATGGCAATCACAGGGACAAATCACAGCAAAACAATGAAGGACAAATGCCATTAAATATCTTTTTGGCATAAGATTCTTAATGAAAAAAAAAATCAAAACACCTTCCTATTTTGTGTCAATCTATGGCAATATAAATTTAATAAATTATTATAATCTTTTGGTGTATCAAACAGATTATTTGATAATTCAGAAACAAATTGGCAATATGGATATTCTCTAATGATCGAATCAGCATTTTCTCAATCAATAATAATGGATCAAAACTTATTATATCATTCTGTATACCATCCATGGTATATCAACATTTTAAATATCCCATCTATTTTGAGTATCATAACTGCTAATATCAGTATGAATATAAAAAGATTACTAATTCAATTAAGACTAATAAATATTCATTGTTTATCAATAATACTTATTTTGATTTTACTAAAGACAGATGTTATTGATGTAACTCAAGTGACTATTCTTTGAACCATTTACTAAGAGACTGTGAAGGACTAAATAAATACCATAAAAAATATGAAATTAAAAAACTATTATTTACGAAACAAAATCAAGACTTTAGAACCAAATTAAACAATCTTACATTAAATCAAATGTATAAAATGAATGGTTTTTTAATCAAATCGCCAAAGAACTAAAAAATATGTGATAAATTAATAAAATTAAAATATTGTTTTACTAATTATGTTACTTAAAGTAAAATATTTAAAAGAAAACTAATGAAAAAATTTACTACTAAAAGATTATTGTAATGTTATTGATGATCTTGAAGATAATGTATATTGAACAATTGTTAAATAACAAATGTATAATAATATGTTATTGGAAAAATACCTCCTGTAACAAGGCTTAGCCTTAATGCATATAAAATATTTGATGATGATGTAGTACTACATTTATTATACTGTTATTAATACCCTTGAACTAGGTAATGTGGAAAAAGTCCACCAGCAACACTCTTCGAGTTTTTCTTGTAACACATTGTGTCTGTGTTATATTGTTTTTGTTTGTCTCATTTACACAAATTAATGGAATAACTTCTGTTTTAATTACATATAGATTATTTTGTAAGATATAAATTTAGAATTATTTATTTATTTCTTTTTAATTTCATATGTTTTAATGAATTTATTCATTTTTTTTTTTTATTAGGAGTATGATCGTTTATCAAGAGACTACAAAAAAATGCAAGAAGAAAATAATATTTTAAAGGAAATCTTAAAACAGAGAGACCAATTAATAGAAGTAATTATCATCTGCATTTATTATTTTAATAATGTCATAAGTTGTATTCCTCTATTATCATTGATAATTTAGGCTAGTGATTCTCTTAACCTAGGGTTCAAGCATTCTAGAAGTGTGATATGCCTTTTATGGGTGTGAAATGATTTGGTTGGAAAATTATTTTTATTTCTACAATTGAATTTTTTGAATTTCTACTTTTTTCTGCTGTTTTCATTGAAAATGGAGTTTTACTTTTTAAATAATCTTGATATATTTATATTAAAATAGTAACCCATGATCACATGTAATAGTGGCAATTTTTAACATCTGTTACTTTTTGGTAGACATTTGTTGCCAAATTGACTTCTTCCAGAATATTCTCATGCTACATGTTATCCATCTGACTGTCAAAAAATTTTTCCCACTTATTACAGGTTCTCAAAAAATCACTGCAGAAAACACTGCCTTACATGTGTGATCACATGCAATTTTTCTTTATTTTCCTACAAACACATGCATGAGGTGGCAATTTTGCACTCTAACATCATCAGAAATAAACTTTATGTATGCAATCCTGTAAAAAAAAAAAAATGCATATGATTGTGGGTTAAATTTGAATATATAATTAAGCATCTACAATGACAAAACAAAATAACTTAGTGTCATGGACCTAACTTAAATGAATTTTTTTTCTTAGTTGCTTAAAGTTTAAGTAAAGTTAGGCTAAAACACACACATGAACAAGAGATGATCCTTTCCAGAAATTACATTTTTTTATAATGTATTTATCACAGGGTACAAGAGTGATAAAGATTAAGAACCATTAGGTGATAATTTATTTTTATGTATGATATTAATGGAATTTAGTTATGTAAGTTAATACTGCAGAGGACATTATTCTCAATATAAACGAAAAAATTTAAAACAATATGTATATAATTTATTAAAAGATTGCATTTTTATATCAGATAACACTATATAAATTTATTTAGAATCTACATAATGAGGCTAATGAGTTGGAGATAACCAGCATTATAATATGACAGAAATAAATAAAGCAAATAAGTCATTTTGGCCTATATTTATAGTAAATATAATTTAGTTGAAATATATTTCACCATATAATAATTTTAATTTTAAATATTCCAGTTAAATTAAAAATATTCATATTATTAGTTTTGTTTATTTTAACTGAGGATATATAAATACAGTAGAACCTCGATTATCCGCCCTAATTGGGGACTGGGGTTGGTCGGATAATTGAAAAGTCGGATAACCGAAAAGTATGAAAAAATCCATTATTAGTGTAGTATATTATTATATCCCATGTAATTAGTATATTAGTATATCGCTATTAACCTATTTTGCGTTGAATTTTCATCGATGTTAAGCCTAACAAAAATTTTTTTAAATAATAATCGTCGCTATTGTATCGTTAAAAATTAGAAAATTAAGCTTCGTTTAAATACTGGCTCCCTTTCATGGTGGAATGAGTGTTGCCAGCTAAAACACGTAAAAATAATATTAAAGTAGCCAAGACATAGCCAAATATTGTAGTGCCACATCACTAGCGGACATTTGAAATTTGCCAACTAGGACGGTCGGTTGATCGGGGGTCGGATAATCGAGGTTCTACTGTATAACAGATTTCCTGTCATTTACAGCATATGATATGTTAATAACATGGCCTTGAAATACTACACTTCTGTTGTTCTGCTATTCCAATTCTTATCACTACAGTTAAAATAAGCAAATAACATGAACAAAAACAGCAAAAAAATTTGTTAATTATTTTGTGACTATATTTGATTATTATTTAATTTATAATTTTGATTTTACAGTTGTAAAGTGAAGACTTGATGATATAATATTTTATAAATTTCTTTAATGAATTATATACAAATTATTGTTATTTACATGTTTATAATGTTACTTAATATTTTGTCTTCATTCCTGTAGAAAAAATATTCATATTAAAATAAGTTTTTAGATTATACTATATTATTATTAATACTTTTTAGGTTGTCTTACACAAAGTGTATCAATTTAGAATTGCTGTAAATGTTTAAAATAACATTTTCAGTTTATCCTGGTAAAAGATTAATGTACCAAGTGATCATAATTAAAGTCCCCTATCAAAATTGCATAGTGATTCAGTAGTCCAAATGCAACCAAATCTGGTATGCTGACATTTCATGACATGCGGAAGACATTTCCATAAAAAAATTTAATATCAAAACTTGCCATTATGTCACTTTTGATGCTGCAAGCAACAAAAACAAAGCAGTTTCCTTTGCGTAAGTACACACATTGTGTGGTCACAACTGTTTAATGTCATTCTCATCAGATACAATGGTCATTGCCTTGCTGGAATACATATTTCTTAAGAAACTACAACAATGTTACAGTTGTACTTTGTATAGATTCTTAGGACTGAAATTTCCAGAGTACAATTGACTCCACAAGCTCTCAGAAGAATGATCACTCAGTTCAAGAAAGATAGACATTTGGGAGTTCACCTGGTTGAGAATGTAAACCAATCACTTCACAAGTTGTTGAGAATGTTACCATGGCTGTTATTGAATAATCAATGAATAAATTGCCAGCTCCAGAAATGAATGTGCAGTGTCATGGCAGTTGAGTGTAATCTATGGCATAGTGTTGAAGGTATTGAGAAAGTTATTGTATTGTTTATCCATATAAGATCAACCACAACCAGCAGTTGCTTGCTACCAACAGGGAAACCAACTGATTTTTTGCATTGACCTTCCTTTCCAGAATGGAAGTGGTTGTCATGACTATGAAAGATCTTGTGAAGCAATGAGGTGAAAATTTACCTCACTGGAACAGTGAACACCCATAACTGTTCCATTTGATCATAGAAAATTTTTGTTTTTCAACAGATTCCATTATACTTGTCTAAAATTAATCTGATTATGGATTTACAGCCACATTTATCCTTGGACCATTCTTCAAAGAAGCTAGACTCAATGGGTCTAAAAGTTTCTGCAACAATATTTCACTAATAACAGAGTGATTAATTGTGTGCATTTCATGTCATCTGGCCATTTTGATCTCCAGATATGAATCCATATGATTTTTGGTTACAGGACATTTCTCCAATAAACTATCTTTTTACTTGTTGCAAATTCGACAGTCTTGAAAACTTTTGGTAGCCTATCACATTGCATTTGAGAAGCATCACAGAAGATTAGGGATGAATTTATAGCTTAAAGCCACAAGAAGTCTAACACAATAGGCTCTAAGCTGCAGTTGATTAGCTCATGTGTAAATCCAGCTCTGCATATGATCAGTTACAGTTTGCCACTGAATACACTGTTCACTGATTTTAGGTTTTACATCTTCAGAGTGGATGTAATATTGAGCAGTATCCCTGCATCACTAAGGTCTCTGTGTAGCACGAATATCTTTTACAAATAAAATGTTTATTGTTTGCAATGCCAAAAATGCCTCAGTGATGAGTTTTGGTACTAATTTTTTTTTTTTTTTTTATAGAAATGTCTTCTGCATGTCCTGAACTGTCGTCATTCCAGATATGATTGCATTTCAACTGATAAATCTCTTAGACTGTTCTGAATAGGGATACTTAATTACAATAACCTAGTATGAGATAAACTAATAAATTTTATAAAAAAATTTATGGATAATTATTAAAAGTAAATCTCAACTTATAATATAATGAAATAACATATGAAGTATTCAATTAACAGTCTATATATTTTCTTTAATAATTTTTGTTAATAATATTTGAAATGAAAAATACAATACAATGGTTATTAATAATTTTTTAGATAGATATTTCAGTATTACACTCTTATATGTGAGATTTATAAATATGTTATTATATAAACTTTATAAATTTTATTGTATATATTATAATCAATAATCGAATATTATTGGATAATTGATGCTCTACTGTATATAATATATATACGGTAGAGCATCGATTATTCAAATCAATTGGTGACTGGGGTTATTTGGAAAGTCAATTTTTCGGATAATCAATTATGTATGAAAAAATACATTATTAATATAGTATATTAATATAACCCATGTTTAAATTTTTCTCCATTGCATGCCTCTTCACATTGAATTTTTGTCAATGTTAAGCCAAACGAAAATTTTTATAATAATAATCATGGCTATTGTATCATTAAAAATTATTTTTTTATTTTTTACAAACAAAATAAATTTATTGAAAAATATAAAAACAACAACAAATTATACTTTAAAAAATACTTTAGAAGTTAATCTAGTATCAAAAATGTTCGATTCAGCACAACACAGTCCGATTGGAATGCTTTTGGTTAACTGACATTTCGGTTGATCAGCATTTGGATAATCAACACTCTACTGTATATATATACCTGATATCTGTATGTTGTTTATAATAGGTTTGAAATAAAGAAATTAGGATTTCATATTATTTTTACTTTACACATTTAATTTTAGGAAAATGGTCTTGTTCTCATTAATGGTGAGGGATTAGTTAATGGTGATATCGAAGATAGTCCTCGCAGTACACCGGAAAAGTCATTACCTAATTTACCAAAAGTTGCTCTTGTATCTCAGGCTACTGCTCAATTATTAGAAAAGGCTGGTGATGGTCCTTTGAGTAAGTATTTATGAAAATTTTTTGAAATGTACAAATAGTATTTTTATAAAGTAAAAATTAAAAGTTGTTATTATAAAAACAAAGGAAATCTAATTCTATTGGACAGAAATGTGTTATATTTGAAATATTGTATAATTTGCATTCAGATCATGTTTAATGTTGAAATATAATACTAGAATAAACACTTTAAAATTTGAATAAACAACAACAAAATTTAATTATCAATTTTTTACAATTGCATTTTCATTTAAATTTTATATTTTAAAATGTGGTAAGGATTATGATGCATTTTATTCTTGCATTTAAATTTATATAAGTAATAATAATTAAATAATATTGTCACTTAATACAATAAAAACTGCATCATAACTAAAAATCTATTGCAGAGAACAAAAATATGAATTTAATTTCTAAAAAATTTTGAGCTGTATCTTTACATTCAGATTAATCTTATGTTTACATATTTTATTATAATTATTATTATTGGATTACCAAAGGGGTAGAATGATATGTATGAAATTGCAATGCAATGCTATAAACAATTTATTTGTTTCTAAATGCAGGATGTAAATTAAATGATTTTTATGACATTAGTGTTTCAATAGTGATCTGAGGGAATATAATTATACTGACTTTCATAAAATTTTTCAGTTTATTTGAAAATAGTAGTATCAAAATTATAATTTGAACACGAAAATTTTTGTTTTTATAAATTTAATTTCTGATTTCAGTTTGGATCTAAAAGATTATTTTTATTCAATATTTTATCTTTTTTAAATGTATTAATAAAATATTGTCACTTCACTCAGTAAGATATATACAAGGTAGCTTCAAAAAGTTTTCAGAATTGGTTTATTACGCAAAAGTATGTGTGCAATTGACAAATCAAGCAACATGTCCTTCAAAGTATTGTTCTTCTGCAATCACACACTTTTGCCAATGCTGGTATAGTTGCTGAAAACATCCTTGGAAATTGTCTCATGACAATGCCTGCAATGTAGATGTTGCACTCTGTATATAACCTTACCTGCATTCTTGAAGTGGCATCCCTTGATAACATCTTTCAACCAGGGGAAAAGGTAGAAATCACACAAAGTGAGATCCAGAGAGTATGGAGGATGCTTTAATGTGATCACTCCATGTTTGACAGGTAGGTACTGCTTTACCAGCAGCAACCAATGTGCAGGAGCATTGTTGTAGAGAAGCACTGATGTGTTGTTTTTCTACTGGTGCAGACATTCTCAGCAGATGGTTTCTCTAAGACGTATATAATATGTTGTATAATGATATTGTATAAGTAATTGATAATTGTATAAGGTGAAGTATGTCAATGTACATCTTGTTGATTGTGCAACCCTTGGGTATAAATTCGTAGTGAACAATCCCCTAAACATCAAAGAAGACCTCCAACATAACCTTCTCCTTACTCCTGTTCTGCTTGAATTTCATGGATTGCAGTGAAGTAGGTGACTTCTATTGCACAGATTGTCATTTTTGGATGGTACAAGAAACACTCAATTTTGTCACCTGTGATAATGTTGTTAAGAAATTCCAGATTCTTATCGGCCAGTTCAATGAGAGCTCTACACATTTTGGGAATTTTTTGCTGGTCCACTGAGATCATTCGTGCATGTTCAGTTGATAATGCAGGATGGATGACAACTTCCAACCAAAATTCCTGTCTTAGTGATTTGCTAAATTGACTGTTGTGCATGAAATTGTGAGGTCAGACAACAACTGACACTTTCTCCTCAGATATTGATGTTGACAGATGACCACTTCGCAAATCATCAGCAATACTTGCAATATTTCTTGTCTCTCATGAAAACATTTTTGCCAGTCATAAACTTGAGAATGCTTCATGGCAGATTCAACACAGACATCCTGAAGCGTCTTTAAGGTCTCAGAGGGTCTTTTCTCCAATAACACACAAAATTTGATATTTGCATGTTGTTTTTCCACAGACATTTTTGCCACTCTGTTTCATGACATCTCACTAACACGACCTTTAGGGAATGGTAACTGTTGTCATCTTTGTAGAGAGTATAGATTTGTTTGAACACATTTCTCCATTCCTGACATTTTTAGCTAAGACATGCATTTCATTGCCTTTAATTAACTAACCCAGCATAATTCTGGAAACTTCTTGAAGTTACCTTGTACATATATACTGTACATATACACATTTTTTTCAAAAATATTGAAAAATAATCAAAATAAAAGAATAAACTTAGGATAAATTTTGTATAGAAGAGACTAAATCATTTTTTTCTTTCCTTATCAGCTCTATAAAAGATATTTGTTTTAAAATTCATTTTACTAATTTTTATTTGTTTGGAATAAATGTATATCATACCAAATTGATAGAATTGTATTAACGATATAAATTTTTTCATAGATGTTAGATTAAAGAAATTTGCAGAAGAAAAACAAGAATTGCTAGATGAGGTAAAGATCTATTAAATTATGTTGTCAATTTGTATAAAAAATCTAAATCAATAATATCACATATCTTCTTTTTTAGATCTATAGGATACGTCTTGATTTGGAAGAAGAAAGACAAAAATTGTCAAAAATGGAACAAATAACTTCCAGCAATGGATCTCAATCAAATGGTCCTGAAATTAAACTTTTAGAAGTTCAAAGTAAGTTGGTTTAAATGCATACCCTAAAATATTATAAATGTGTCTATATTTAAAGTAACAATCATTATATCATTGCATTGTTGACTTAAATAAATCAATCTTCATACAAACTAGCTTTTGAACACCAGTCTGAGAAAACCTTTCTTCTAATATCCAAGTACTTTTGAGCCAGTTAGGTTCATCTTTGGCTTCACTGAAACTACAATTCTTGATTTCAAAGAAACACCTAAGGAATTTGATGTATGCCTACTCAAATTTTTTGTTCTGTTTTTCATTTTCTTAAAAGTATTCTAAACTGTTAAGTGGACTTGATTCTATATACAGTAAAACCTGCACACTCTTTCCGACTTAATTAATTCGACTCGGTTGTTTTCGTTCGCTCCTCAGTTATGTGTATTACGTCATCAATATACAAGCGCGTCCTATCTCTCCATCACTTTGCTTTTGGTTTTCGTTAGTTTAATCTTCATTTTAACTTTAAAAACAATGTATTTTTTAATATTTTCTTAATTAAGTACAATAAGAAAAATTATTAATAATAAAACGATTTTATTATTTTTTCTCATTATACGATTTCGTTACAATCACAGAATCGAAAAAGGAAGTAAAACTGATTTTTGCATTAATGCGTTTATTGTTTTTTGAATATTTTGCCTGCGAAAATTACTTGGATATTATTTTTATAAAAATATCGTGGAAATAAGGTAGATTGATATAGAAACTATTTACCGCACGTGTACTGTATATGAGCTTCAAAATAAATAAATAAAAATAGATTTTATCAAACGATGAGATCAGCGATTAATTGTATCGTGTACAATATTTTACACCCCCAAGGAAAATACTGTAGGTTTAGGGTAAAATAAATTTTGTTTTCCCACAGTTAAACTTCGCCGATAATTGCCGTTGTGATAACTTTAATACGATTTTCTAACGACAGCACTTTGCATTTCGGATATTTTCCAACAAACTGAAATGAATTTCCTTTGTTGCTAGACTAATTTATTAACACCTGCATCTAATTTCAAGGGTGGGAGAAGTGCCCGGGATGGGTTCGAACAAGAGTTTAGACTAATTCATTATATTAGGAGGCAGAAACGTTGTTGAGATAGGTTCTTACAATAGTTTAGACCAGATACATTCGCGAAAGTGGTCGCTTATTACAAGTGTTGTATGTTGTTTCGGACTAAATATCGATGCCCGCGGTCGCGTTACACGGGTGGTCGTTTAATACAGGTAACTTATACGAAGACTCTATGGATAAACTATTCCGTGCCAGAAATTTTTGCCCATTTTGACAGGTGCCCGTCGAATGCAGGTGGTCACCTAAGCAGTTTTCACTGTAGTAAATAAATAACCTATAACCAGCATTAATTCTCTTATAAATGAATGTTTTCTTCTGTCTTTAACAGTCATCATCATGTTTCTATGCTTTGGAATGTTTGTAAAAGAATTCATCTTCCAAAAATTCAAAAATTGCACATCTTGAAGATACGCACATGCTCAATGTAACTTTTTTTTTTTTTTTTTTAAATATTTCCAGCATCTTAGAGTTGTCACATCTTATGTCACTCTGCCCTTTTTCATATTTGAAAGAGATTCTTTCCTTCAAAGTAGAGAGGTACCCATGGGTAGTCCCATCTCAGGAATGCTTTGTGAGTTGGTGGTCAGGCAACTTGAGCGGTGTGTCTTACCTGGCGTAAGCAATGACATTAAGTTGTATGCTAGATATGTGGATGATGTGTTGACTATTTGGAGAAGAAAACCAAACTTGGAAGCATTCATTGAGGCTTTCAATGATAATACTTATGGCCTCTTGGCTGTGGGCAGAGCAACAAAGCTCCACCAACGTACACTTTCTCGATATAGACATCACGCTACAACATGTCCAATTAAGAACTAAGATATGCCGTAAGACCTTGTATGCTCTGCTTTTCATCCATGCAAAATCTCATTCATGATCCTTTTGGTTACAAGATCTCTGCTTTTAAGGCCATTAGTAAAGGCTTACTCCCATTGTTCGAATGCAGAAGATAGGAGAATCGAACTGGAGTATATTTCAAGTGTAGCTAGGCAGCATAGTTACCCTGCACATCTAATTAATGATCTGGTTGCACAGCGGAAACAGCACTTACAGGAGACAAGTACTTTTACCTATTACTTACAGCAAGATCCTTACCAACACCTACAAACAAATAGCCTGCTTTACAAGTAATAAGGTCGCATACAGGAGATCCAACCATTTTCTCTTGTTTAAGAGACAATAAGGACCAATTGGATCGAAATAATATCCCAGGTGTATATTCTATCCCTGTTTACGATCATAGGGTGAACCGTCCTGGCGAATATATTGGTGCTACTGCACATTGTCTTAAAACAAGGATCAAGGAACATAAATACTCCATTTAAAAAGGTCTTTTCACTTCAGCATTGGCTTCATACGCCATTGACAATGACGTCAGGGTGAACTTTGATAATGCACAATTACTACAACGGTGCGAGGACCAGGCCAGTCTAAAATATCTCAAACAGCTGGAGATATTTAAAGCATTCAAGAGAGGAACAGCCATCAATTTCAAAGAAATGGACTTGCTGGCAGCTGTGTGGAGAGCATATTTTGATGTAAAAAGATCATTCTCAAGTTTACCTTTATAATTTATATAAACATTGAATTTTTAAAATAGTAAGCCAGTTTGAAGACTCATTTTTTTAAAGAGTTACATAGAGCATGTGCATATCTTCAAGGTGTGCAATTTTTGAATATTTGGAAGATGCATTCTTTTACAAACATTCCAAAGCATAGAAACCTGATGATGACTATTAAAGATGGAAGAAAATGCTTGTTTATAAGAGAATTAATGCTGGTTATAGGTAATTGCTTATTTATTTGAATTCTATACCAGTAATATCATGAGGATTTTATTAATTCTATATAATACGCTCTCTCTTCTCTCTGATCATATTTTAAATTCACTAGAAGATTTTATAGACAAAATAGAGGGGTCCTAATTGGATTGCCCATAGCAGAAACTTTGGTATAACTGATAATCAAAGAAGTAGAATGGAGGTATTGAAACAGTTTGGAACTAAAATAAAGCTTTACAGAAGTTACGTTGATGACATACTTTTCATCTTGAAACAATCATTGTATGTAGAATTTTTTGTGCATAAATTTTGGAATAGCTACTTAAGTTTAAAATTAAGAACAGAGCAAAAATTTTCAGACTTCTTAATGGTCCCATTAACCTCCTATTTGAGTCCTGGGAAAGCCAAGCATCCCAAGGCCCCTTGCCATCTTTATTCATCATTGAAATAAATAAAAACTAAATTAACTTCATTCAATAAAAAAGCATTACAAAAAAATATGGCAAAGAACATTTCAAAAAAAATATTTCAGATCAAAGATATCATCATGTAGAGATAAATATAATTTTTATTTGCTTTGATTTTGAAAAACTGACTTTCTTTATTTTTGGGAACTTTCAATCTCTGTGTTTTTACCAATGGACTTATAGAAGTATGACAGGTATTATTTGCATGAAATTTAGATAATTTGTTTTCAAAACAGGATCTGTCACCAACAGTTTGTGTGAAAAGAAAATACAGTAGATCATCGATTGTCCGACTCAATTGGGGACTGGGGTTGGTTGGATAACCGAAAAATATGAAAAAATACATTATTAGTATAGTATATTAGTATATCCCATGTAATTAGTATATCACTATTAACCTACTTCGCGTTGATTTTCATCAATGTTAAGCCTAACAAAAATTTTTTAAAATAATAATCGTCACTATTGTATAATTAAAAATTAGAAAATTAAACCTCATTTAAATACTGGTTCCCTTTCATAGTCGAGCTAGTGTTGCCAGCTAAAACACGTAAAAATAATATTAAAGTAGCCAAGACATAGCCAAATATTGTAGCGCCACATCACTAGCGGACATTTGAAATTTGCCAACTAGGACGGTCGGTTAACCGAGGGGTCGGTTAACCGAGGGGTCGGTTGATCGGGGGTCGGATAATCGATGCTCTACTGTATGTTTGATTGTACACAATAGGGACAAATGCTGTTTCATATTATAATGCAGATATGAAGTGCTACTAATCAATTTATAATAATTCTTTGCAATATTCTTTTATACATATATATTAAATTGAATAATAATATATAGGCTATATATTAATTGAGAATTGTATTTTAAAGATTAATTAATGATAAAACAAGAAAATCTTGTAATTTAAAATAATGTTGATCAAATTAACTGACAGTTCATATGTCACAATATTCTACAAGGTGTCTTGGGTCAAACTTTAACATCTTATAGTGTATAAAGTATTTACTTTTTAAGATTTCAGATTTTTCTGATAATGTAATTATCATTTCCTCCCAGCTACTTTTATTTTTCTGTAAAGCTGAAGACTACATTGATAAGACAAAATGACCAAAATATCTTTAGATATATTTACCCCATACCATTAAAGCAAGACTAAGACAAGAAAGAACTACTGTACTATAAATGTTTTCTTCTGAATCAGATATTACTATTATCTGGAAATTGTGTGTGTGTGTGTTGTACATACACAATATGCACATGCATGCATGTTTACATGTGCAAATGAAAGAAATTTTTGCCAAATTTCTCCCATAACTTTTCATCTATTTTTACTTTCAATGTTTTTTTTTCATATAAAATGGAGAGTGACAATTAAAAGAAAAGCTGGTTTAATCAAACTGAATAAAAGATGTGATTAATGCCATCTAATCTTCCAATTTTCCAATAATACAATTGTCATTACATTTTGCTGCACTCATCAGGGTAAACTTTTGTAAAACTTTCTGAAAAGTACATATAAATTTTTATAGAAAACTGAATATTCATTAAATACAAAGAATAAGTGCTACAGAACATTTGTCTTAAAATTCATTGTGTATATTTTAAAAAAAGATTAAAATTTTCAGGAGAGGTCAACACTAAATCTTTCCTATAACTTGAAATAGGGTTGCAACTCTTCTTTGTCATAGAAAGGAAGATTTGTAAACTGCTTTAATTGTTGCTTTCTTGCTATGGAAACTTCGCAAATACGTTTCAGAACCCAACACGATGTGTAATGAAATGTAAAAACTTGAAGAATCATCAGAACTACGTTGAAGACATCGTGACCAAAACACTTTTCACAAAGAAAAAATGTAATCTTTATACGTCTCAATACTTCAGCAATCCATAATAAGGAAATAGTCAGCGAGATCAACAGGAGAACGTTGACCGTGAACACACCGCCATACACGGTCAAGAAATGATTGCTTCTGATTAACACTGCAATGTTTATCATACATAAAACGGTGGAAAAAAACAATTTGTGAATTCGAGAACCCGAATTAAAGAAGTAGAAAACATGAAATTCGAATACTAATTGCATAAAATACTCCAAAGTGTCCATCTTGTAAACAGTTTAAAATTAACCTTGTTGACAAAATTCGCACGATACGAAAATTCGCACGAATCTTGAACATGCTCCAAGCATGTTCAAGATTATCCTATTTAGTGTGGGTTAATCCGGATCTTTGTCTTTAGTTATCTTTTTAGTTATTTTGAAGATGCTTTACATAGTTTGGTCTAATCAGTGTGTCCTCATTCTAAGTCTGTTTCTACTACTAAAAACATTTCATGCAAATAATAACTGTTATTTGCATGAAATGTTCATTAAGATTTGAAGCTATATTTGTTATTTACACAAAGAATCCAGATTATTTTAAATGTCTAACTTAAAATACCCAAACTCCGACAGTAACATATGATATTAGCTACCAGAACCAATGTTTTCAAAGTTCTTATGCCTGCATCTTCAGGTGCTGCAGTAATTCGAATATATGTCCTACAAAAAATGTTCTAACTTTTTTTGTTAGAGATGCAGGCATAAGAACTTTGAAAACATTAGTTCTGGTAGCTAATATCACATGTTACTGTTGGAGTTTGGGTATTTTAAGTAAGTTTAAATGCCTAAATTTATGAAATATTAGTTAGAAAGTACAAATTATATATTTCATAATGAACAGTGACATATAAGTTAAAAATAATTTAATTATTTTTTAAATAAAATTTTAGAAATGATTACTTTATAAAATTATAATTTTTTTGAGAATAACAACTAACTTACTGATTGTTTATTTTTTAGTCCTTGATACAGTGGCTTATAAAAAAGTAATCATATAATTTTGAATAATATTACATATTCTGTTTTAATTATTAAAATGTATAAAATCAATATCTTAGCTAAAATAAGTCATAAATTATTTTATTTTAGGAGAAGCCAATAAACAAATCAATGATTATAAATACAAGTTAAAGAAAATGGAGCAAGAAATTTCTTCTTTACAAAGTAATGTAAGTAGAAATTTTTTTTCTTTTAATATTGATTCATTAAATAGGGATTTTAATTAAAAACTATTTAATGAATTGAGGATTTGCATGGTAAATGAAAAGATTCATCTAAATTTTTTTATCATTACATATGCCAGCTTATAAGTCGATGTCTATATTTTCAATAAAAAATTTTGGTTAGACCTATACCTGTCCTATAAGTCAGTGTTCTCCAAAGTGGGGTACTCATACTGCTACTTCGGGGTACACTAAGTTTTCCTCCAAAATACTGTAGATAGACTGCAGACAGGACACACATAATCTTAGTCATCCTCCTGAAGAAGTAGGCTCATGATCACGAATTCAAATTTACAGGTAGCAGGAAATTTAGCAAATTTTATTATAATTCTTTTCATCTTAGGGGTACGCAATCAAAAAAGTTTGGAGATCACTGCTATAAGCCAACTCCAAAAGTATGGTATGCTAAAACTAACAATTGCCTATGGCAAAAGTGTATAATAAGGACATATCACTCTCATTGACACATTAATTATAAAACATTAGTATGAGCTGTATGATATATATATCAGGGCCAACCAGAGGGAGGTGAAGTGAGTGTATCTGGGCACCTTGTAAAAAGAAAAAATTTCAAATGATTCTTGAAAATTTCTTAGAAATCTAGTATCAAATGAATACTGACTGATGTATCTTCTAGAATATTTTAATTCAGTGTATTATATATGTATTTCAAGTTGTTGATAACAGCTCAATGTCTCTTCCTCAGCTACAATAAAATAAACAGTATTTATTGATTGTTTTGCTATTCTAAATTAAATAATAAAGATGTTTGATAATATTATTTATTGTAGCATATAAATTGAAATTTTAAATGATTTTTGATGTTTAAAACATGTCTTCCTTATACACCCCCCATTAAATATAATTATGTCTCTGCTGTAAAAACAAAGCATTATTTTATATTTTTCTATTAATTTTTAAATAACTACCAATACTATTCATATAATGTATCTACTCAAATACTAAAAATACTAAAACATCATAAAATTCAACACCATTATGCAATATTTTAAATAATACACACACAAACAATCACAAAAGTATCAACCTCCCCTCCATTACTTAACTAAATAACATACTGCCACTGTAAAATTTGAAACAATGGAATGAGTATGATAAATAATTGATATACTTTTACAACTATTGCTAATTTATGTATCTTAAAAATTTACTATTACAAACCAACAATATACTTATCAAATCACATTACTTAACTATATTAAGTTTGAATAAGTACTTCTTAACAGAGTTGCAAAGCCGGAGTCGATAAAATTCTTTCAATTCTGACATCAAAGTTTACTATTGGTAAATATGAAGTAAGAAAAATATTTTTTAATTACAGTAGAGCGTCGATTTTCCGAAAGTCAATCATCCGAAAGAATTCCAGTCAGCAAATTTAAATTTTCGCCAGTGCTGTGGCGCTTCAATCTTTGGCTATGTCTTGGGTTACTCAAATATTTTACGTTTTTGATACTAAATTAACATCTGAAGTATATTTTTCAATATATTTATTTTGTTTGTACAAAATAAAAAAATAATTTTTAACGATACAATAGTCTTTGTTAGGCTTAACATCGACGAAAATTCAACACGAAGCGACATGCAACGGAGAAAAATTTCGAAATCGGATACGTTAAACTATTTTTTCATATGTAAATCAGTTATCCGGACAACCCCAGTCCCCAATTGATTCGGAAAATCGACGCTCTACTGTAATTAGTATCTAAAGAAATTTCTTAGAAAACAGATACTTTAATATCATTTTGATATCTAAATTTATCTATCCATAAAGAACATTTCATAGCAAAATGTTGTGTATCTCATGCAACATGTTCTATACTTTCAGAAAATACTTTTTATTAATTTATGGCCCTCCAGTGGCTGAGTGGATAAAACCAATGAACACTTGTAGTTAGTCATAGGATTGTGTCTAGAAAGTAAACACTTAAGCTTGTCACTTCAAAGTGATACCATATCTTTACCAAAGAGAAGCTCTCAAGAAAAAAATATGACTTTCATTTCAAGTGCCATGATTTTTATTTAATGCAATATCTTTTTACATCTCGGATGTTTTACTTTAGATATCAATTGTTTTTTTTTTTTTTTGACTGATTATTTTTTCACTGCTGTTCTGTTGGTTTCAAGTTATTTGTGAGTATTTATTATAGCTTCAATAACATAATTTGGTCTTAAAACAGTCAATAGAAAAACAATGAAAAAAAGTAAAACCAAGATTAAAATCTAACTGCAAGAAACTAAAAGACGAAGAGAAAACTGCAAAATGTAATTAATAGGATTGTTTCAACTTATTATTCACTGGTTTAAGTTCTCAGGGCACGATTGCACCCATCAGTTCAAGATGATAAAATATAGATTTTTTTTCAAAATTTACTATAAGCTTGAGTTTAGTCAACCATCAGTAGGAAATTAACTATTTCCTACTGATGGTTGACTAAACTCAAGCTTATAGTAGAAACCATTATAGCTGGAGCTGGAGAAACCATTTTACAGACCTATTTATTACATAATTCATCAAATCATTGTTTTTTACATTTTATTGTATTTAATTTTTTCTTGAAAATTATTAGTTAATTATGAAAAATTCATTTAAACGCCCAAAGGAATTCCACTTTTAAGACATAATGTGCTCTTTATGTACTCAAAAGTTTTTCTGAGGTAAATTTGTTATATCCATTTTTTGATTCTCACCCTCAATTTTAATCTAAATTTTCTGTATAAAAAGTCATACTAAAATATTTGATACCTAGTGGTATCTTTCTCTAAAAGAATTGCAGTGTGACATTTTTAAAAAAGGGTAAAGTTAGAGTTAGAGTTGCAAATTTGCCAGAGTCGAACTTTTTGTTTACTGACTCCACCACACTGCTTCTTAATATGTAAATAAGTTAGTTGGAATCATTGGTAATACCTTATGTGATAGTGGGTGTAAAAAAAACAGTTGCTTATATAATAAGCAACATTTGTATGTTTGGATTAAGATCTGATAATGTTTAATTGAATGTGGTAAAATTTGAATGGTGACTATTGAAAGGCATTGTTTAATTAAGTGATGGAGAGAGGTGTTCTTATTTTTCTGATCATCATCATCATCATCCAATTCAATACAAATATTCACTGATAATCTTGAATTTAGTGATCTGAAAACATTCTGATAAGATGCTTTCAATAACAAACATTGTTTTACTATTGATTTTAACTAATAGGAATCTGTTAGTTGATTGTGAAACAGAAGCAGAAAGTAAAAACCATGCATGTATTGTGCAGATTATTCTGCCAAAATATCACTTTTTGAACCATACAGATTGTGTAACAGACGTAAACATTGTTTTCAGTATGTGTGGAACCTTGCTAGAGTAACTTCTAGCAGTGAACCCAAGGTACAACATAAAGAACATAATAAAAATAAATTTCTAACAATTACATATTGTTTATTTATTTCTTTACACTTCTAAATTTACAATTATTTTTTAACTTTATTATGTGGACATGCCAGCAAATAACTTTCTTATATATATCTAAACACAAGTTCATAGAAAGGCTTATGATTTAAAAAATTGAAATAAAACACTTCTAATTGTAGTCTATTTTATGAGATTGAGGTCAATTAGTATGACCTTCTTTGGCTAAAATTGCTTACAGTATTTAGAGACAAGCTATAAAAAAACGAAACTTTTTAAAACTTTAAATGACCCCAAAAAGTTACATCAATTATTAGGAGTAATCTAAAGCTATGGATGCTAAATTGTAAAAAAATAAACTTTTCTTAGAGATAAAATGTTTTTAAGGGACTATTTCTTGGCTTCAGATCTCATATGATTTCTCTAAATTGTTGTATGAAATTTGAAGCTGAGATATAGAATTTAAAAAAAAAAAAAACATTAGAAATAAAAAGTTGACTCCTTAACTGATTTAGCATCCATATCTTCATGGAGTCATTGGATGTATGATAGAGAACAAATTATTAGGAGTGCTGTTCCACTTATTTATCACTTGTGTATAGGTTTACATTTTATATCCACTATATAAGTTGACTCTAGTTTTAGATATGTTTTTTATTTTTTAGAGTTAAAAGTTAATTTAAATACTAGCTTATGCATTAATAATTTTAGATTTTTGTGAAAAATGTTCAGTTTTAGTGTGTTTCTTTATAATTTAGATAATTAATGTTAAAAAATTGAGATCTTGGGATGTCATTCATTTTGATCTGTTTATAATTTAGAGTAATAATTATTTTTGGTTGCAAAAATTTAAAATAAAGCTATTGATTTTAATGATTTTAGATTGCCAGATTAGAAAGTCAAGTCACAAGGTACAAAATGGCCACAGAAAAGGCAGAGAAAACAGAAGACGAATTAAAGGCAGAGAAAAGAAAAGTTCAAAGAGAGGTATACAAATGCTTTAAACATCAAGTTTATGAAATGAAATGACACTCTGCTTATTAATTGATATTTTTTCCCAGTTTCGAGAGGCTCAGGCAAGAATCGAAGAACTCGAAACAGCCAACAAACATCTACAAAAGCGAATTGACAAATTAAAGTCAACAAGGAATGCCCTGATCAAAAGTTAAGCTCTTTGACATTCAAAAGTCTTAAGGGAACGAATGTGATTGACATATTATACATGTTTGTAATCATATTTTGAGTGCCTCACAATTGTATAGCATCGGGTGCTAAAACGTTCCAGGTGGTTTAAAAAATTGAGCTTCGGCCTTGTTTAAGAGATAATGTACGTGGCGGATCGAGTTCCGTCCGGGAACGACGTAACCGCACGTCGTATACAATGTTGTAATGGTTATTAAATTTATTCCACTAGTTGACAAACAAGGTCGATCGTTTTGGCTCGACTCATAATTGTTTTAAACTCGATCCAAAATGTATTTTACTTGTAACAAGTTGTATTTGTTTCTTCATTTGTTTCGTAGTTAACTACTTCCAAAGTGCCATTTTTTTTTTTTTTTTTTTTGTTATCCACACAGGGAAATTGTCAAAATTTGTTCATCTGTATACATCATATTTTTTTAATTCTTTCAAAAATCATCACTAGGATTGTTAAAATTTACTACCTTTTATTATTATTATTATTTATTTGTAAATGCCATTTTTTTCATTCTGTTGTTTAAAGAAAGTGATATTTTATATCCTTAAAGTTTCACATCGTGTTGTACGTTGTTGCTTTTTAATTGTGGAATTACGGGTCCTGTGATTTCACGTCATTCTAATGTTAATAAAGAAACAACCTTGATTATTGTCTTTACTGAAATTTTGAAAATTTAATGTATCGATCTAAGATACAGTTGAAAATACTTAATTTATTTCCATCTCGGTATATTTTAGAAAGGATTTTTAAGAGTTTGCAAAGAATTACTTCCTAGTAAAATGTATTTTGTGGATCACTGCAATTAATACGCATGTGTGTAACTGCTGAAACAATAAAATTTACTTGTTACTTACTTATACAGATCTAAAGTAACCACCAAAAAACAATTAGAACACTCAATACATCAAATTCAGACATACAGTGTAGGGCCATTAAGCCGCACAAAAAGCTTGGATCCCAATTTTTTGACACTATGGATCGTACGGACCTGGACATGGCCTAATTATATAACAGTACCTATCACTTTTGGGCTGCTGATAATTCATGCCTTAATATCAGAAAGGCCATGAAAGTGGGTGAATGAATTCAGGAGGAAAAGACTATTCATTTCTCTGTTTAAAAAGATCTCAAATGAGAGACTGTTACACTAACTCAATTTTATCTGAAAAATTATATTGACCACCTAAACTTTTTATATATGTTCTGGGACATGAGTATTTGCCTTTCAATTGTTTTCTTCAGTGAGGAGGGTGAATCTGTTTGGAGCTTTGGGTGTTCAAACTCCCACTAGGGACAACTTGAAAATCCCTAGTGGGAGTTTGCACCACCTTGGTGATAGCACAGAATAAATGGATGGAACCGACAGAATACACTGCATATTTGGCAGGAATTGATTTAAAAATCTCCACAAGTTGATTGGAAAACTTCTGTGTCCTTGTGGTATGGGTTTTTATAAGATTTGCCTCTTGACCATTTCAATTAGTTTCAGACCCCCAATCAATTGATTGGTCACTCATCTCTTTCTAGGAAAAATTCAAGACCATTTCAAGCTGCAGGAAAGGTTAATGTTGAAGTTTTACTGCTAAACACTGCTATAACATAGTGCCTTGTTTGGTATATAAATAAGTAGATTACACAAAAGTGATATTACTGATAATACAAGACCATGTTTGGGATGCCAAAAAAATTAAAAATATACAGAAAATTTAAGTGATGAAGTAATATAATTTTGACCACAAAATTATATTACTACTTCACTTTGTTGTGGTCAAAATTATGTCCATAAACAAATATTTCTCATACACAAAACTTGTTTTAAAAATACAATATAATCAAAAATGTTTATTCTTTTCCAGCAAAAACTAATCTTCTTGAACGCTTTGTTCACAACACACTTTTATAATTAATGTTTGATATTTCAATCAAATGAGGATCTTGAGACAACCATAAAAATGAGAAACTGTGTTGATCTAACAAATTTTTCAACACCAACGTCCAATTATATGTATAATTATCCATTATTGAACACAATTTATACAAATTGTTATATGCTACTTTAACATAACTTTTATCATTGATTTCAACAGTCTAATCCAAAAAAGAAACTATTGCATTTATTATTAATACTGATGTTCTAGAAACACCAAACTCCAAATGAAACATATAAACTGGAATTTTATGGTATAACATAAAAATTCTTTGAAGATATGATAAAATGGAAATTGTTCTTGCTTTAAGTAATTGCCAATACAGAGCAGCGTAAAGACATACAGATGAAATCATTGAGTTAAATAACTTTGTAAAATTAATTCTGCTTATAATTATATAAAGACCAGTGCCATTTTAGCCTTACATATACAGTAGAGCGTCAGTTAACCAAAAACATTCCAGTAGGCAAATTAAATTTTTGCTAGTGCTGTGGTGTTGCAATCTTTGGCTACTCCAATATTTTTTTTGTTGGTGTGTGTGTGTTTTAGCTGGCAGCACTGGCACTTTTGTGTGGTGTTTTTCTGAGGACTGTGTGTCGTGTTGAATCAAATGTTTTTGATAATAGATCAACTTCTAAAGTATATTTTTTTGGTTTTTATATTTTTCAATATATTTATTTTGTTTGTAAAAAATAAAGAAATAATTTCTAATGATACAACAGCCACAATTATTATTTTAAAAAGTTTATGTTAGGCTTAACATCGACGAAAATTCAACGCAAAGCAACACGCAATGGAGAAAAATTTCAACATGGGATAGGTTAATATATTTTTTCATACAAAATCGATTATCCAAAAAATAATCTCAGTCCCCAATTGATTTGGATAAACGACGCTCTACTGTACTATAACTTTTAGCCTGTAATAAGTGTCCCAAAGATGAAAATAATAGTCCCAGGTATACGTACAGTGGTACCTCAGGATACGAACACCCCAGCGTACAAAATTTTCAGGATACGACACGAAATTCGAACAAAAACTCACCATACGACATTACATTAGTTCGCAGCGCCATTTTTTATTCACTTCTGTTCATCGGTCTCGGTCCACACGTTTGCTTCGTCGTGGAAGGATCTCACTCGATAAAGGAAATCTCGAGATATTATCAGAAAATGACAGATTTTATTGAAAAGAAACATCCCGAAAAGGTTCACACTGGCCGTATTGCCGCTCGGAGTAATGGCATTTGCCTAAGTCATTTTAGAAACAGTCTAAAAAGTAGGCAAAGCCAAATATCTTTGGATAGATACAGTAATTCAAAATGATTTGTAAAAGCTGATTATTAAAGAATCATATCTCTCTGGGTGATCATCTACCACACATCTTGAACACCCCACTTTTGTTTTTGAAAGATTTATAGGTAATCCATAGTCACAACAGAATTCTAGAATTGCAATTTTCTTTGGAATATTGGCAAGAATTAGTGTTGTCATCATACATTAGTACATGTACAGTACCATACCTCAACTTGATCAGAAAGAAATTCCAGGTAATTCAGACTTAGCAAGTTGCACTATCAAACCATTAACATATAAATTGAAAAGCAGTGGGCTCAGAATCTCATCCTGCAAAATCCAATACCAAATGAATCAGTCCTTTTGGCTAAAATCTTTACTCTTGCAATAGTTTTGGCATATATATCAATTATATATATGTGAAAATTGACAGTTATTTAACAAAAGTTTAGCTACGATGTGATATAAACATACTGAAAGTCTGGATTTGGATCCTCACATCACCTTGGCCTTCCTAAAATCATGCTTGTTCTAAATGAGCAAGATTGATTTTGAATAAAGATTATAATTGGTTTAATCTACTCTCTCTCTCTCTCTCTCTTTTTTTTTCTTATAAATGTTAAAGGATTTTACAAATTGACAATGAGATATTAACAGAGCTGTAACATCACGTACAGTCACATGTCTCGAGTTATATAGTTTACAATTAAGATATTTGACTCTCTCTCTCTCGTTATGACAACACAGTGAAAATAAACCACAATAACATAAACATATGAATAAGTATAATTGTTTATTGATGTTGGTTTACCTAAGGTAAATATGAGATTCATAAATTTTTGTTTTTTTAGAACGATCTAATTTCCCTGCTATAAGACGATTAATAATGGTTAAGAGCATAGGGTGAGGATGAGTAAGACCTAGGAGTATGTCGAGGAATACTACTACTTTGCTGGGGTCAAGGCATTACCCAAGGTTGGTCGGGCACTGGGCCTCAGCTTCTAAGAGTGTAAGGAGGTGTAGTTTCCAGTTGCTCTTCCTCTGCATCCAGTCGTGTGGTCTGTTGGGGAGTGGTCTCTATTTGTATTTCCTTTTCCGTTGTTTCTTTCTCCCCTTCCGGTTCATCATCTTCTTCTGCTAGGTCTTTAGATTGTTGAGAAATTTTGGTTAGGATGAATTCATCCCATGGATCTGCGATAGTTGGATTATCTGGTAGTAATGATTGGGGTTTCATGACAGCTGTAGATACAGGCTTTGTCCTTTCAAATTCTAATCGTGCACTACAGTGTTTTAAGCAATTCACATGAACTTGGAGTTATTTCTTGGTGTGAACATTTTTGATAATAAATGTGACAAGACTTAATTCTGTTACTATTCGGAATGGACCTGACCATCTTGGTGCTAGTTTTTTCTTTAGACCTTGAGAAATGACGACTTTGTTGAGAAAAACATGGTCTCCCATATGATAAGTAGCTAATTTATGAGTACAGCGGTGATGTGTCTGACGTTCTTTAGCTGCTTGTTCAGCATGGTCTTGTGCTATTTGGTGTGCATTAGCCATTCGAAGGTTAACTCTGCAGCAAAATTATCATCGATATCATATCTAGTCCTAGTAGGATGAGTAATTAAATCAAAAGGGTAAATGGGATCTCTTCTGTAAAGTAAAAAGAATGGTCTATCATTCATAGAAGCATGAATGGTGGTGTTATAGGCAAAGAGTGCATAGGGGATCCATTCATCCCAATCCCATTGATCTTTAATGACATAATGTGATATAATGTCAATAAGGATTTTGTTAAATTGTTCAACTATTCCGTTACATGCAGGATAGTATGCAGTTGTTAAGAGTCTTTTAATATGGAGTAATTCACATACTTCCTTAAACATCTTGGAGATTAAATTTGGTGCTCGATCTGTAAGGAGTTGAGTAGGCGTTGAATGTCTTAAGACGATATTAGTTACAAAAGCTTTGGCAATGGTTTTACTATGGATATTAGGCAAAGGTATAGCTTCGGCATAGCGACTAAAATGATCGACAAAGGACCTATAATGTCCATAGCAGTTCGTTCAAATAGATGTGTTAAATTAAAGGTGGAAATAACTGCAGTTCTGCTTCTTGATATTTATCTTTTCTCCTTTGTAAGGCACATCGTCAACAGTCTTGGCAATAAGTTTTTATATCTTTATTCATAGCTTGCCAGAAAAACAATGGTCGAAGTTTTTGTTGCATTTTCTGTGTTCCTAAATGACCTCCAAATGGGGTGTCATGATACGTATGTAGAATATAGGGAATTAAGACCGATGGTATAACTAGTTGTTCTAAAGATTCTCCCATGAGAACAGGTTGTCGATGATAAAGGGCTCCTTCCTCATCTAAAAAAAAATTGGTTCTTCAGGTTGGGATCTAGTGCCGTATCGGTTTCAAGTTTCTGAATTATAGGATTCCATTTTATATCTTTTTTCTGGAGATCTCGGATTTGGGCCTTTGAATAAATAGGATCAAGTTCCTCAACTTTCCCGATTTGTTGGATTGGGATACGACTTAAAGCGTTTGCATTTCTATGACAATTTCCTGCCTTATGGGTTACCTCAAAATCAAATTCTTGTAGAAAGATGATCCAGCGGGTGAT